GATCTTACTTGCATGCGATATTAATGATATTGTTCTATAATTTCCACATTCTGTGGGATCACTTTTCTTTGGAATGTGTACAAATATGGATGTCTTCCAGTCAGTTGGCTAGTTAGCTGTCTTCCAAATCTCTTGGCATAACTGAGTGAGTGCCTCCAATGGGGCATCTATTTGTTGAAATATCTCAATGGGTATTCTGTCAATTCCTGAAGCCTTGTTCTTCACCAATTCTTTCATTACAGCTTGACTTCCTCCTTCAGTATCATTGGTTCTAGATCATATGCCACTTCTTGAAATGAATGAAGATTGACCAGTTCTTTTTGGTACAGTGATTCTGTATCATCTTCTCTTGATGTTTCCTGCATCATTCAATATTTTGCCCATAGAATCTCTCAATCTTGCAACTCGAGGCTTAAATTTTTTCAGTTCTTTCAGCTTGATAAATGCTGAGCACGTTCTTCCCTTTTGGTTTTCAAACTCCAGGTCTTTGCACATTTCATTATAGTAATTGGTTTTGTCTGCTCGAGCTACTCTTTGAAATCTTCTGTTCAGCTCTTTTATCTTGTCATTTCTTCCACTGGCTTTAGCTTCTCTCCACTCAAGGGCGAGTTTCAGAGCCTCTTCTGTCATCCATTTTGTTTTTCTCTTCTTTTGTTGTCTTTTTAGTGACCTCTTGCTTTCTTCATGGATGATGCTCTTGATGTCATCCCAGAATTCATCTGGTTTCCGGTCATTAGTGCTCAATGCATCAAATCTATACTTTAGATGGTCTCTAAATCCAGGAGGGATATATTCTAGATCATATTTTGGCTCTTGTTTTAATTGTCTTTAACTTTAAGTTGAACTTGCATATGAGCAGTTGATGTCTGTTCCACAATCAGCTCCTAGCCTGGTTTTGGCTGAAGAGATTAAGATTTTCCACTGCCTCTTGCCACAGATGTAGTCAATCTGATTCCTGTGTGTTCCATCTGGTGAAGTGCACGTGTAGAGCTGCTGTTTGTGTTGTTGAAAAAAGGTGTTTGCAATGAACAAGTCGTTGGTCTTGCAAAGTTCTACCATGTGAGTTCCAGCATTATTTCTGTTACCAAGGCCAAATTTTCCAACTACCGGTGATTCCTCTTTATT